CCGTCTCTTCAGTGGCTTGGGGAAAACACTCGCAGTCAAAGCCCTCTGCGACAATATGCCATTGAAGCCCCACACCTGCGGACCAGATCCAAGGGTGCTGACCCTGGCACCAATGCCTTCCCAGACTTTCTCCCGCGTGCCAAGTTCTCACGTTGGGGAAGATCCATGGGATATGCTCCACAAGTCCTGAAAGCACACACAAACGAGTGCTGATTCGGCACGGATGCAGCAGCTTGGGAATTATTTAACGGATTGATTCCTCAGCTAATGAACTGGGCAGGAGCACCTCATACCAGCTCTTCCAAGAAGTAACACAAACCAATAGGCTCCTTATTCCTGGAGTCCTGCGTTGTGCCCTGTACTACTTCTGCAACACATCCGCTTTATTTCTTATTTTACTGGAGGCTTCGGCAACAAAACTAATTTTACTTTTATAGTGGAATCAGAATTGGAAAGGAGCCGAGCACTCAAGAGACCATTTATTATTATTAGGTTTTTTTTTAAGTCAGAAGAGTGAGCCTCTTATCTCTTGTAAATTGAATGCACTACGATCCCAGCTCTTAAGTTTAACGTCATGCCATCTACCATCCCCGCCTAGCTGCAGGGTTACAAACAATGCTTGGAAACGATAAAGTACAATGTAATTAAATAGGTAGAAAATACATCCATCAAATCCAATCTGTCCGATTTGGCCTTTTCCTTCTCTTCATGAAAGACAGATTTGCATTTGCTATTGGCAAGGATTTGCTTTTACCGGAGGTCACCTTTTGCAGGCCTGATTTCATACATATTTAAATCAATGGAAAAACTCCCACTGTCTTCTGTAGCTTTGAAGAGGGCACTGAAGCCCCCAAACCATTGCAATCATGGGCATTATCCTAAATTTCAGATTGGGAAACTGAGACCAGAGAGGGGGAGACGTTATCCCGCAGTCCTGGGACAGGACAACAGCATGGATACAAATTGGACCCGGGTGTCCCAGTTCTGCCCCCAGGCCAAACTACAAATAAGTCACAGCTCACAAAGGCTCTTCACCAACTGTTGGCTTCAACCTTTCACGTCTCGTTTGTGATGAGTGGTCTAACTCACACGACACCGTTTCTTCTCCTTCGTTGGAGAGCCACTTTTTCCCTCCGAAACGGGAGAACGACAGCTACAAAACGACAAACACCGAAGAGCAAAAACTCAGGTCGGAGCTACGCTGGGTCAGAAGCAAATACAGGTCTCTGAAGAGGAGCCAGTTCGGAGAGCAAACCCCGGCTCCTAAGTACAATCCTGCTTAGCAGCTGGAACACCAGGGTGGTACCAACGTGGGGAAAACAAAGAGCTATTTGGAGTTTGAAGGACTGTTCACAACCGTTTTGGCCAGCTCTCCTACTGGGCATCAGCCCTCCTGCTCACAATATTTTTTTCATTATGGCGCATTTTTCTGCATGCCTCCGGGGAATGAAAACAGGAAGAATTAACGCTGTTCCTCCCTGGGGCTGTGTCACAGAGCACAAGGCTTGCCAAACCGTAGTATGCCCAGAGTTTATCTAATCTGTTTACTCGTAGCCGAGAGCCGCACACAACGGCCTGGTACTGCAACCGCTGGTTTTAGAGCGTCGGGTCACTGCCAGATGTAAAATGTCACCCTTTACTGACTCTGGCAAGCGCTTCATCTCCGTCACAGTTGTAAACATCATTTGTATCTTTGATATTTCCATCAAATAGGTCAGAGGCTGAGCTGCCTTATACCCCAGGCAATCTCTGTGAAGTCAGTGGACTGAATTCTCCATTCACTTAGCCCACTTCTGTACTCCATTGTAACTCCAGTGACTTCCACACAGTTATCCTTGATTCGTACTGGTGTGAGCGGAGACTTTAACCCACTGGAGCCGTCCAGGGTAAGTCAAAGGATTTGGCACGTGATAGTAAACGAAAACCAGCGGAGAAGACAGGATTTGAAACAAAACTGGAGGAACTCCACTAACAGCAACAGGCTCCTATTGGTGTCAGGGCAGAGGAGGTGGCAGCAGGGTCAAGCCCAGAGAGTGGGACTCCACCTTGAAACCACGGGTTGAGTTATAACGTGCAGCTCGCATTGAGAGATGGGACCCTGCCGGCTAAAGCCACTGGGATTTTCCAACATGCATGTTGCCCCCTATCATTTCTGAGCTGGCAGCAGACCAGGCTCGCGTTAGCAGCGCCTGTTGTTCTGCATGGTCATGTCCCTGATGTGGCATTAGCCGAGGTCTGTACAACTCGACATGTGTGAACCAGGTAGAAGTCAAGTGCTCTAAAGCAGCTGCCTTTTGCAAGCTGACCAGAGGCTTTATATGCATGTAATACCCAACAGATGGACTTTATTCCATTCTCCGACTGCCAGTTTCTACATCTGGGCTCTGCTTTCAAAGGTGAGGGTAAGAATCTGGATTACAGGCTGCTTTCAGATGGAAGCAGGGTGCATGAGAGGCAAGCCTGGCTGAACGACGGTGTTTATATTGCTTTGATACATCTTGGCTCCACTCGGCTAAGAGCGGCTTTTGGATCCGATTAAAAAAAGCCTGACCTTTTCCAGAGGTCAGAAATCTAGGCTATTTGCTCTCCACATTACATTTTTCATGTCTTGCTGGAGATACACACAGGAAGTGTTTGGGTTACTATTCCCATTAGGGACTAGGGGGTTTTCAGATAGAAGGGCCAATTCTTGAATTTCTGTGGCAGCAGGGGGCTTTCCTCCCTTGGGCCGCTTTGCAATCCCAGCCATACCTGCTAATTCACTCTGCTAAGAGAGGGTTTCAGCAAGGTCATACATAAAATCATTCATCCCCCCCTGATTGTTACGCCCTCCCGTGAAAAATAAAGACATACGTTCAGATCCTGCTCTCACCTCTCCCAATGCGGAGTCATTCCAGATTTACGCTGGGTGTAGCCAGGATCAAAGTCTGGCCTACAACTGGATAAAAGGGATAGAAGTCAACAGCAATCAAATCATTCCAGGCCTGTTCGCTTTCCATTGTCTTTGTTAATGCCCAGTACATGACACCAATATTCTCCTTCTGTTTATGGTTTGCCTGAGCTGGGAAAAGAGCCAAGGGGAGAAAACCATCTATTCCAGGCGACAAATATAGCCTGTTCAGAGAATGCAAAAGTCTGTGGTCTCATTTATTTCTCCACAGAGTAAACAGCAGTGACAGTGCTGTAAATGGTAACCTTAGCTGAAAAGGGCCCGATTCTTCCTGCAGGCATGAGACAAACTACACGGCCCTCTTGGAGTCGATAGGAATTACTCTCTGCTCTGCTGAAGTCAATGGGAATTACTCACATCCTGCCACCGGGAAAATAAGACCCAAGTTCTTGGAGGAAAGGAACCTAACCTACCGACAAACATGCCCAGCTCACAGCATTCATTCATACCCCTTTTGTCAACTGGTTGCACAGCTCTAAGCCTTCAATACATGCGAGTTTGATGAGCATTTCCTGTTGCAAAGGCTGTTGTCAGTTGGGTTCTTAAATCTGTTCTGGATTTTGGCCTTGGCAGAGGTGCACTCCCCCAAAATCTGTGGGAGTCCAACCTTTTATGCTCCGTCACTCTACTACTAGGATGCAGATGCAGTCCTAATTGTATTGCCGTGGTCTTCCACAATGTCACGGCCAAAAGCATCTCCAGCCTGAAAAGGTGTCCTTACAGACACACACTTCTCAGACACCAAAATATTTCTGGATCTTTTTACAAGGTGAACTCGGGGAAGCCCCAGCTGCACGAAGTGGCCGACTGACAGCAGCAGCAGTAGAAGAAATGGAGAGTCAATCCAGTTAATGTTAGGTTATTGGGAGCCATAAGACTAAAGCAGAGGAGGAAAAGGTTGAGAAATAAGCCACTGCAATGGGTGAGCAAATTGAAGGAGGCAGTCGCAGGATGAGCAGTGAGAAAGGATAGGTTATTAGGAGCCAACCCAATGCCCAGGAGACTCATTGGGACCTGGATCAGGGTAAAGGAGAGAACCACAAAACATTTGTCCATCAAAAACCAAAAAAAAACACAACTGAGGTAAAGTGGTGTATGAATGCCAAGGATCTCCTTTTTCCCTTTCAACGGACAGCCACAGCTGGAGCAGCCACCGTGCTCCGAGAAGCCAAGTGGAAGCTGGGGCTTAGCCTTTACCCCAGGTATTTCCAAGGGAGCCAGGTGCTAAGATCAATTGAATGGGACTTTCCAAAGCAGTTTGAAGCCCCTCAGCCCACACAGATTTTGGAGCGGTATAACCATTTCATTCACAGGTGTGATTTCCCCCCTGCCAACTCTATCTATACCAACGCAAACCCTAGTGTGGACACTGCTCTAATGGTGTTTTACACTGCTATTGCTTAGCCCTGTCTCCAGGCTGGTCTAAGCATCCTTATACCATATAATGGGATGCACACCAATGCAGTGGTACCTTTCCAATAATATCAGACAAGCCATTGAACTCCCTTGAAAATCCAAGCCTTACTGCGCAGGGGGCTTTGGGACAGTGCTTGAGGGGAGGGGCCAGCGATTCTGCTACAGATGTGCCCCTTGAAAGCCAGTCTGAGAAGTGGCATAGAGGTTTATCTCAGCAGCATGAAACAGCTGCACAAAAGCAGTAGGACCAGGGGTAGCTGCAACTTCCTTCTTGATGAGCCCATGCCCCAATGCAGCATCCTGAACAAAGAGGTGGCTGGTTTGTGCAGCTGTGATTTTTTTCAGGGCTGCTTACCAGCTCAGGATGCCCCATTTGTGTTAACACTAAGGCTGCACTGCAATTTTCAGGCTAAAATGGATAATCACGCCAGTGCCCAATGCCTGAGTGTAACCCACCCCTGTACCCTCCTTTCTCCAGTCAAGCAACCAGGCTGGGGGGCGGGGGTGATGTATAAGGATCCCCGTCATGCCCCAAATGAATGGCACGAGTGAGAGGTGGAGCAGAAACATGCAATAGTTTTTAACTGACCTTATCATGGCTTAGAAGGAATGATATCATTCTGTAATTCTGCAAACTCCACCAATATTTATATCTATATCTATATATATATTTCCTGTACATGTACAGATCATGAATATACTGTATGTGTATGATAAAATAACAATCAGATAGGAATTCAAGATATAAAACAAGGTTTCCTGATGGTTCAGTCATTTATCCCTATATTAAAAAGGTTCCATCCATGTGAATCCCACGCCCGGGCATGATTCTCCATCGGTCTTGGCGTGTGTGTGCACGGCGGGGTACCTTTCAGCCCTAAGAGTGATTTGAAATTCCTCAGTTTTCACACGGTTAGGAATGTGGACGATGACCCAAGTCCTTCTTTCGGACTGGACTGCAGCTCAGGGCCGGCCAGAAATGGCACGTGGAGGTGAAGACAACTGCCTTCTTTTGGACTCGGAAATAATGAGCCAGCTGTGCTTTCCTGCTCAACCCACTGTGCAAAAAAAAGAAAGGGAAAAGGCATCAAAGCACATGTGGACACCAGGTTGGTGCGACTTGATGCCTGCACCCCTGGAGGAAAGCGGCAAGCATTTCCTCGCACCTCTCCGTTTGCTCGCCCCCTCCTTCTCGCAACGCACGGGCCCGTGGACACCAGCCTATCCGGAGGCATCTGCAAATGTGGTGAAAGGCTCCTTGATCTCCTGTCAAGGGGGGTCGGCCGCAGGACACAACCCAGCATCAAGAGTTTCCCGGCTGCCCCTGGAGTCTGACCACAGACCCGAGGCAGGCATGTCACCAGTTGCCTTCTTGGCTGCTCGGAGCCCGGGCTCCATCTCAGTCCCTTCCCCCTCGCTGGTCGCAGCAACAGCCCTTTGGCCAGGACCTTGAGCTCTCGACCTCCTGATGCTGCCTTACGGACATCAAACTTCGCGGGATCCCTTTCCCTGCTTCACACGCAGCCGCACTCCTTGGCCGACAGCTTGTTGACGGTGTGGTACCTGTTGTTGTTGTCCAGGAAAGAGACCTCGTCGTCGTAGGAGAGGGGCCGGCAGCACGGCCTGGCCCTCACTTTCTCCTTCTTGATCTTCTTCTTGCTCCTCATGTTCTGCAGGGAGATGTCGTAGTTCTGGCCGGGCGCGTTGCACGTGCCGCTGCAGTAGCGAAACAGCACAATCTCGTCGGACATGAAGCCCAGGCCCAGCTCGCTGATGCTGACCTCCAGCTCCTTGAGGGCGCAGGGTTTGTGCCGGGCTCGGGCCCGCTTCATACGGTTCCCCGGTTTGGGGAAAAGCGCCAGCTCGTGCCCCCCGGAGTTCATCGACTGGCTGTACTTCTCCACCAGCGCGGAGATCAGCTGGCGGACTTCGCCTTCGGTGTAGCTTTCGAACAAGGTGCTGTCTGCAACAAAAGGGGGACAAGCTGTTAGTGGGGGAGCCCCAGGAGGCGAGAAGCATTTAAAACCTCAGCCCTGGGTATCTCTGTTGCCTGGAGTGAGCTTTCTGAAAGTCACTGAGTTGCACACATGATGGGGTGCAGGCTCCTAAATCACTTGTGCATCAATACCACGCTCCCAGAACTCCCCGAGAGCACCACTGTCCAGCACAAACTATCCCCGTGCTCCTCCTTAGCATGGGCTAAACCCTAAATGAGGTGGGAAAGCCACTCTGAAGATGCTCCCACCCCTGCTTTTGAACTCTCAGCTAGCACGCTTGAGAGCTGAGACCACCCCAGGCAGTCTCGCTGCTTTGTTTCTGGGTTGGGCGTGCGTGCAGCAGGAGCAGCTGGGCGGGATGTGCTGGAGCAGGCACTTCCCGGAAACACTGGGGATGCCGTGCAGACACACCTTGAGGTGCTGTCGATCGTATTACCCTGCATTCCCCCAGCCAGTAAAAAGCAAGGGTTTGTGATCAGAACAGGAGACAATTATGGGCACAAGGAAATCAACCCAGAGATTTTGGAAGCCTCTACAACTTTCAGCAGGTCCTACAACAAACCATAAACTTTCATTAAAAAGAAATAATTGCCCATCTGTCATTTTCCCTTTGCCGACTGATTCGCAGATTCACAGGCATTTGGGTCAGAAAGGACCTTAGCAGATCATCGAGTCCGACCCCACACGAGCCTGATACCGATGGGCTCGTGCCCTGCCAGTCAGCCTTGCAGCAAGCCGGCTTCAGTGAAGTTTTAGCCCCAACTCAAGCTGCGCTCATCCCTTTCTCTCATCCCATTCACTCCATTTAACTAGGATAGCAGCATTGCTCAACACAGTAGCCCAAGGCCTTACTGATGCTAGGGCTGGAATTAATTGCCAGTTGTAATAAATGGATTAAGCAATCCCATGTCAATGGTCTTGGGCCCTGCCTATGGAGCCATTTGAACTGTGGCCTTCACAGAGTCACCAGTATTTTGAAGAGCAAACAGGACGTTAAGGCCATTGAGTCTGATTCTCTCCTGTACAACACAGGGCCAGAGCTTCTGGCCACGCGGCCTGACCTCCCCTCCAAGAGTCTGGAACTGACCTAGCACGTGTTTCCAAGAAAGAGATCCTAAGCAGACAGTCACTCGCAGTCCCAAGTCCAGACAGGGTCAGAGTCCCAGTGAACAAGTTGCAAACCTGTGTGGAGTGACTTCTTTTGCTGAGCAGTGGCAGCTTTCAGCCATCAGACGGGGTCTCCGATCTGCCTGAGCCAGCGTCACTCAAACCCACGAACCACCCAGTGCCCCAGGCAACTCAGCTCTTATTGGAGTCCTGCTTGTTACCTGTGGCACATTATAGCTTTGTTTTAAAGGGCGCTTTGGGTATGTGGTGTGCAGGTGAGACTCAACGGCCCCAAAAGTTCCTATGTTCCCAAGCACTGAATGTAATGATCTCAGCAGACCCCAGCTCTGCCTTGGCCCTCTTAACACATATTCAGCAACCAGCAGCCATCCAGGTGGATGCTCTTTGTGAGGAGCTGGAGACCCCAGGCTTTGTGCAGTCTGGGCTTTATGATGTGCACGGTGTCCCTGAACACTCGTAAATCATCCCGTGGCCAGATTATGGTGCCAGGTCCTCGGGGAGGGGACGCATGCAAAGGGGAGAGGGGGGAACCCACATCTGATTCCAATGTCCGTTCCCAGTCACTCATTAGCAGGAGCCATTTGGAAAAGGGGCTGGGATTCACTTAATTTCTATGGGCCAAGTCATCCCACTGGCCTATGGGGGCAACGGAGGATGAAATACCAGTAGAGTCATGCAGAAAGTAGTGAAAGGGAGATGGGCGGCCTGGTTGCCCCTCTCCATCACCCCTCTCCTCTTCTTGTGTACCAGGTTCATTGGGGGAAGCTGGGCACTGGCCAGACCTGGGCGGGAGGGATGGGAATGCCCCCAGTCAGCACCATAGTGCTCCAAAGCAGCAGGCTTCAGTGCACGCCACTCCTGCAGGGATGGGGTCCAAGCTCTGGGAATTGTATTGCTCCAGGGCAGGGGGCCAGCGCGGCAGCAATGGACTTGTGCCCCGATCCCCATCCCGAACAGCCAGACAGACCGCAGGGGGCTACCGGCATGGGTGGGATGCGACTGCATGCTCAATGTTATGGGGGTTTCCCTGCAAGATGGGACAGAGGATTTTCTTTAACGCAGTGAAAGTCTGCATGAAGCTTTCAGTGTCTCAGCGAAGCGGGATGGAAAATCTTTCATCTCCAGAGCAGGAGGCTTTAAAAACCTGCTTTCAAATGCAGCCTGCGCAAGCCAGGCTCTTTCCAGATGGCACAGCTGCTCTCTGCTTGGAGCCGGCGGCGGAGGCCCAGCAGAGAGGAATGCTTTAGGTGAGGCTGCCCCAGGCCTTGTCTGCACTTGAAAGGGGCTGCTGGGATGGATGCATTGGTACAGTTATTATACCCCCAGCCCCCAAAGCACAGCAAGACAGTGCTTCCTCAGGTAGGGTTTAAATCAGCTCCCCAAAAGGAGCCAGCCTGGCCAGCAAAAAGCCCGTGGAAGGAGCTGTGTTTACATTAGACCTGTTGCTTTCCTTCTGCACAGGGATTCAGATAAATTATTAAGCACGGACAAGCCCATAGCACTCACCAGCAGTGCTTGAAGCTGCAGCACTTCCAACTTTTTTTTTTTTAAATCAGTGTCCTTAAGTTAAGCAGGGTCAGGCCAGGTTTGTGTTAGGGAGGAGATCTCCAGGCTGTAGACAGCAGTAGCAGTGACAGCCAGTATAAATGGCACTCTAGGCTATGAGATAACAGTCCTGCTTAGTTTTAGATGCCATGTTAACCTCAAGTCTTGGCCACTTCTGGCTGGTTTCTACAAGAATTAGGGCAGGAACCCTGAATTTTAGCTTGAATTCTGCAGTCTGTATTGCCTACTATGTAGTACCAACCCAGAGGAAGCTGCATTTCAGTGGTGGGTAAAATAATAATGACACTTTGAAAAAGACTTGGTGAGTCCAGGGGGTGGAAGATCTTCAAAGCTCCCCTGGGGCCAGTCTCTGGGGTTTGTTCTTAGCGCTCACTTAGCCCTACGGTTTCACAGATGTCACGAGGAGCGAAGCCACGGCAAGGTCATTAGTGGTTGGCCCGCTTTTGCTCTTTGTGGTTAATTATTCTAGTTCTTCTGCAGAAAATGCCGCTGTCCTATGCTATGTAAATAATATCAGAACTATTTGTTTCTGCTCCACACGTCCCCGGAGACTCCCTGTGCATATGTAGCTCATCGACAGGCTTTTTTCGGATTCAGAGGAACAAATCTGCAATGCTGCTTTGGTTTCCAACTCATCACACAGTGGCATGCATGCAAGGATGTATGTGCGCCGCGGCATTAAACTGCGTGAGCTGGCAGAGCTCCACATTGTCCGCCCTGCGAGTCCCTTTGCTAGAGAATGTTTCTCTGCCAAATCCTCCTCTTTGAGCTTCCTCCAGTGCCAGACTGCACGGGAAGCCCAGTTCAAGCACTGGGAGAAAGGGAGTCGGGCGCAATGGCAGATCCAGTCTGAAACCACGGTGAACCCTTTGCTTGACCCATACGCTGCTTGCTTCCACGTCTCACCCTTTCCAAAGCTGGCTTCCCTTTACAGTGTGTGATGGCTGCTGCTGTTGAATGCAGCACTTGGTGGCCGGTGATAGGCATGATCGGTGCTGCCAGCCAAAATTTCTCACTATTGCGCCAGCTGTTTCGGATTTTAGGCCAGTTTATACCGCGTGGCCTTCTCTCCGACCTTACACTTCCAACCCACGAACAAGGGCTGGCAGAACCGAGACCCAGAAACCGAACCTGAGCAAAGCATCAGGCAGCCTTCCTCAGCTCTACGATGGGCAAGGGGGTCCCAGCAAGCAGACAACCCCCTTCACCTCCTACCACCCTGGGATGCTTGGCAGGGCATGCCCTTCCTTCTCACCCCATCTCTTCCAGCTCCTCGGCTTGAAAGGATCAGCTCCGTGTTTGCAAAGCTAATTCCATGCTCTTTCCAGAGATCCCACTGGATCCTTTGCCATCCAAGCAGCTCACTTAGTCTTGTTTGTTTTCCCTCTCCACAGTCACGGCCTGGAGCAGCCCCAGGCAGGCCCTCATTGCGTGGCACTTCGAGTGCATGTTTAAAAATCAAATATTTAGTGAAAAAATACAATTAACTGCTGTCACATTCATGGTTTCCAGATGCCCTGCACAGAGCCCTGCTGAGACCCAGGGGGAGGAGCTGCAGGTACTTTGGACAGCAGGGGAATGAAAAAGCATGTACTGAAATGACCATGGCCAAGCAAAACATGCTCCTGGGTTTGTCGCTGTCACAAGCAATGGGGACAAGGGCAGAAAGGGAAGCAACACAACCGGGAGCTCTGGGGATCCCAGTGCTCAGGGTCCGGGTCGCTGCACCGTTGATGAACGGCCCTAGTTCTGACCCAGGCGTCTGTCTAAAGCAGCAGCGACTCTGCTTGGAAAGGCTCCAGTTTCATTCCCACTAGAGTAAGTCCGTGAAAAGCAGCGGCCGTGCTCCTGATCTGCACAGGGGGTGTGGAACGGATAACCCATGGGAGTTAAACTGATGCACGGCATGGGATCAGAAGCTGTAACTCTGCCCCAAACCCCATACGATCCAAAGCCAAGGCTGTTTCTGCATTCAGAGCTAATGGTAAGGGCATGGCTCAGGCTGAGCACCGCCATGAAGACACACCCCACCCCACCCCACTCGCTCCTGCTCTCTGCGGGCTGCATGCTGGAAACATGGCACGCAGCCACTCTCCCGAGCCTGAGAGCGATGCTGGACTTGCCCTGGGCACGTCGCACAAAGCAGCTGCCTGACCATTTTGGCCTGAGGCACGTGGGAAAGGGGAGTGAGTAGCTGGGACATGCTTTCACAGGGATGCTTCCCAGCATTGCCCGATGCAGGGCGACGGTACCCAAAGGAGCTGGACTCTCCTCTCACTTCAATTCGATTTGAATTGGGCCCTTCTCCAAAACTTCATTCCCCTGGTCCGGACGCAGCTCGAATCAGAGGTGGGCTATGCAGAGCAGGAACGTGAAATGGGCCAAAATGACGAAGCCCTTCTCTGACCCCAGCGCTTCTGCAGACTACCTTTCAAGGCCCTACTCCAATGCATGGAGATACCAGAACTCTTCTGAACACTGAGAGAAGCAGAAAAGCCCTTGTAACGTTAGCAGGCGTTCATCTTAGCCTCGCTCCTGGCACACTCAAACCCTTTAAAGTGAAGCTTTCAAAGAAAATCCGCCCAAGGCAGACAGCAAGTATGGCAAGGCTCGGTCCAGCTGACAGTGTTTTAAGGAACTGAACTCAGGGTCTTCTACTAGGAAGTGGTAGGCGACCTTTTTACTCTGCTGCTAACTTTGCCTACAGTTAACTTTCTTTTCTATTAGCAGCTTTCAGCTAACACTTGATAACTCACAAACCCACACAGCCCTGCACTGTGGAGCACACACACAACAGGTTCAACACAACCGTCTGACCCCCGCTCTTTCCTGCCCAGGGCAGGGGGTCGGACTCGATGATCTGTTGAGGTCCCCTCTGACCCTCGCATCTATGACTCTATGAGCAGGGGAACGAAACAGTCTGATCCTGTCAAACAGATCCTGTAGCTGAACCCAAGTCTTGCGGTTTGCAAGTCTGTGCGATAAACATTGTGTCATGCTCTCTCTTAATAAAATGAAAGAGTAATTAATTCAATGAGAATTCGGTGAGGCCAGGCAGGATAGCAACCGGGACTGAAGAAACAACAACTCCTTAAAAAAAACCAGGATGACCAGAAAATGGGATTTTCAGTGTACTGGTCATTTCAAAAGCAATTTCATTCTGGTTTGGAAGGAATGCAAGTATTTTCAAAACTCACAACGACCCAAAAATCTGACAAAAGTAATATTTGGGGAGCTGAAACATTTTCTTTAGAGAACGCTGGCCAGCTTGGTTTCATTTTTTTAGCTTTTCCAAAATGATGTAAATTTTAAAAATAAAATGAGAGGAAATTCCGAAGTGAAAAGTCATTTCAAACTGGGAACCTGCAGCCCTTCACTTGGAGACTGTGGCAACGGACCGTTTCGCATGGCTCAGGTTTTTTCTTAGGGAAAAAAAAATGGATGCAATCGATTTACATTTGCAAGATGTTCGGGTGTCACCAAATTGGCCTTTTTTCGCTAAAAATGTTTCGGGAGGGGATGGGGGAGACAGCAAAACAAGCGTTGCCCGGCTCCAGACTTTTATATTTCACCCAAAGGCAGCAGCAAACTTCCATGTGCCTTCTTGGTTCACTGGCTCAGCCCCTCTTAGGAAATCTCCAGCAGCTCCTAAGTGTGCCTTGTAAATCTCCCCTCTCGGTACAGACCCGCTCCGATGATGCCTTTGCTTTGCAGACCAGAGCGGAGCTGAGCACAGCTGGCTGGCACGGGTGCAAAGGGAACATGCTGGTTCTGATCTTATGCAGCAGGTATTTTTTAATCACATGCTGTCTGATATATATGCAACACATCACACCAGGGGCCAGATCACCAGCTATAAGGAGGTGGCAGGAAACCGCAGAGAAGGAATACATCTGAAAGGTTCTGCATCTAGTAGGGTGGATCTCAGAGGAGCAAGGGGCAGAGAAATCCCCGCAGGCCAAACGGCCTAAGATGGCCAGGCTAGATTGTCACCGATGTAAGGACTCAGTGGCTCGTTTCACCATCACCTAACCACTAGTCCTCCTTTACCAAGCCCAGGGAGAAGACAAGATCTCTTCCCCCAGAGCCCGCGGAGGAGACTTCCCTCGGCTTCCCACAAACGGAGTCACAGCGAGGCGCGTGCAGCTTACATTGAGAGATCAGTGAGTTATGCTGCTCCAGGGCCCGTGGGTATCTCCGGTGACCTGCAGGCAACGAGGAAGAGGAGGACGGCCTTGATGGCGATGACGGCGAGGATGGGGAGGGGCTGTATTTCCGGCTTCCGTTGAACATGTCTCTACAAACTAAAATGGACAACATGGAACTGAGGAGCATCGAGGCAATGGCTGCAAACTTCCATACCTTCATCTTAGAGCAAGTCAGAACATTGAAAGTCTGCAAAACAGGCAAAACAAATATCCTTAATGCACAGCCTCCGCCTCCGCCCGCGGCATCCCGCCACACCCGCCTACGGCTCCCCGAGCCTTGGGTCTGCACCACCATCCGCGGGGGACCACCGAGCGACCGTGACCAAGCAGATGCTCAGCCTTGAACCCCCTCTCTCGGGTCAGTATTACAACCCTTCCTTTTATAATGGGGAAACTGAGGCACACAGCAGGGAAGCGAGTCGCCTGTGGCCATGCCGAACCGAGGAGTCCTGAATGGTGACCCCGTGCTTTCAACAAGCCCTCTCTCATTCTCTGATCTCCCCTGTCTCTGTAGGAGCCTGATCATCCCAGGGGCATTACTGAGGCAGCATGCAGGAGCCTCTTGTGCCAGGCACTAGTCACAGAGGAAGGGGGAACACCCCCCACCCATATCCTCTATGCATATGTCCTAGATGGGTGCAGGGGCACGGTTCTGCTGCACAATACGTGGAGGCTGAGCTACAGCGGCAGTGCAGAGTATGCTCTCCCCAGGGCATCAGGGGCACATCCACTGGGTGATGCTGGGGCTGGCACTGGTCCCATCCCTATCCCGCCCCCTAGCAGAGCTCTGGATGCTGGAGACGACCCTTGCACAAAGCAGCCCATCTCCCCCTGCAGCAGGGGCTCCCTGAGGGGCCTTCGGGAAGAGACAAGGTGGCTTCTGCATGGGGCTGCAGGTGAGGCTTGCTGCTCCCACCCTAGGCAAGGCGCAATCAGAGCCAGCTTATACATTATATCCAGGGCCCGGCACGCATTTCTGCTTAGTACATAACCCCAGTGCGTCAGAGCCCCCCGCACCTGCCAAACGCAGCAGGGAGGCGAGCGCTAAGTACGATCGCTGCATCCAGACCACAACAAGATTAACAGCTGCTGGCAGCAAACATCCGTGGGAGCAATTCCTGCCTGGCTGCCTTTCCGTAGACCTTGAGCCTAACCCGTCCTCCTCTCCCCGACCTTTTCCCTGCACCTTGTGGAGCAATTTGCACCCCCCGCAGAGCACGTTACCCTTGTTTAGTGCTATTTTATGGCCACTTTGCCATGGGCAGGATAATGATCAGGAAGGCAGGGAACAGGTGGAAAGCTGGGAGGGATATCCGGAGCCCTCTCCGCTATTTATCATCAGCGATAGAAACAAATTTCCATGTTCTCCAGTGCTGGGGCCCTGCAGGCAGCAGGGCTAAGGAAGGGAGACCTGAGTCTGTCTCTTTTGGGGGCAGCGTTGACAGAATTGCTGGCTAAGGAAGCTCCAAGACCATGCCACCTGCAGTGCAACCCCTTGCATCAACATCTGTATCATGCATGTGGCACCAAGGGCCAAATTTCACAGCATCAGGAGACGCCTGGGGGAAAATGCCCTCCCCACCCCGACCTTTGGTATGGCTGCTTGATTAGGACAACGCTCAGCAGAGCCCAGGATGAAGTTAGCATCAGAAAAACACCATTTCTTAGTGCGATTGATCTGGGGCCTGATCTGATCTGGCCTCTTAGGAGCACGAGCTTTCTCTCTTTTCGTAACCCATAACCATCCCCTAGCCACTGGCCTACATGACCTGGGGCCAGGTAGGATAACGGGGTCCCAGGGGTCTCTGAGAGATGACCAACCAGGAGAAGCATCATAGAGGGACCTCGTGTCGTGTGCTCCTGCCCCCCCAGACGGACACAGGAGCTGCTCATCCAGAGCCCATCGTAACGCCACATTCACTCCAAAAGGGAAGAGAGAGGAATCCGGCTTTGCCCCCATTAGGGTGCCAGACCCCACGCACTACAACCTCCAGCTCTTGCATTCAGCATCAGCGATTCTTAACGACCTCGTCAACAATGTGGGCCAAGTCACATAGTGTTCACGGAGGCTCATCTCACCCGGTCCGATTCCCATTGACGCAACAGCCTCTTCGCATCGCTTTGGCGGTGAAAAGGGGCCTCTCCAGCAAGCGTAAGCCTCCTGCCTCCACACGAAGGTCCCTTTATATGGCTACGGGGAATTCACATAAATGAGGATCAGATCCACGGAGCTGAAAAGGAGACTTGCCTGGGTAGGCGTCTAAATGAACTACAGGGTTTGGCCCAATAATAACACTAACGAATCATGTAATGGGCACCTCGTGCCAAGCCACAAGGTCTCCGAGCATCTGCTCTTCCAGCAATGGGCCTCATTACAAAGCTACAGGCACAACAGCTCAAAGGAGGGGTCCAAGACGGGCTCTCCCTTGTCCACTTCCCACCACACACGCTTCCCCCTGGATGGCGGGTAAGAAGCCAATCCTCCCACGAGTCCCTCAGCCGGCCCAACCCAAAAGCATGTAAACCCCACAAAAGGGACGGAAAGTTGGCTTTGAAGTGATCCTCGCTAGTGCAGATCAGAACAGTTTACCAGCACAGACAGCTTGAATGTCACGTTAGCTTTAGGCCCTACCAGCACAACCCCAATTTGCAGAGGTGCACACAGGTCCTTATAGTCAGGCTAGTCTAACCCGGGAAGTATACATGGCTCACAGGTGCCAAGCAGGGATTATTACATCACGGCAGTTTAATTCAGTAATGAACTGAATCAAACCGGCAACACTTCACACACATGCCATAAGGGTTGAAAAAGGATGACACCAAAGGCGGGGGAGCATTATGGATGCATTAAGTTTTACTTACTAGCATCCTCCCTGGACAAATAACGAATCATCCCAGAACTTCTCATTAGCACCAAACCTTGCATGGTTGATGCCCAACCATGGCCATGCCCAACCGTGATCCACTAACTTTGTCCAGGATTCATTTGGGGAAGGGAGGAGGCATTCATTTGCTGACGTCTTAACAGAATGAAGGCAGAGTCTTTTTCTTGTTGCTGTTGGCTTGGTTTTGGTCTCAGAGGAAGTTTTTGGCTCCCAGAGCATCCAACGCCTTCCAGAACGACCAAAACACAGAGAAGTAGGGCTGCAATGGAGCTTGACCCCTTGCTCAGGAGAGGATCATTCTGGTTAGCGCTTCTTGGACGTGTATTTCTCTAGCTCGACCGAAGACAATATCTAATCGTGGCCCGAGCCAAATCTGAAACCTCCTGAGTTGCAATCAAACACAGTGCCTGCTGTACCACTGGCCCGACCCTTAAAGAGGGACTTGAAGAAACAGAAGCACGAATCATCTTTTTGCTTCAGGTAGGACTTGAACCCACAGTCCCTGTCTTGGAAGGCCACTGGGGCCAGATAGAAACGGGAAGGAAGAGAGGCTGTTTTATAGCAGACAGCACCGCAGTTCAGGGGGTCGTGCTATCACTCCACCCTCCTGCCCCATCCTGTGTCAGGCTTGGTCTCCCCTCATCATCTTAGACTGGTCCCATGCCCTTGAAGCTCCACTTGTGGTTTAACTGGGCAGGTGGGAACAGGCTAAAGCAGGATGCAGGCAGACGGTATTCAGAGGGGAGCCAAAAACCGACCTGCAGAGTGACATCCAACCCTTGAGCTGGTCTGGATGCGATGGGATCCAGGCAACAGCCACCATTGGAGACCTCCTGATCTATTGCTGGGGAAGCTGCATGACTGCAGCTGCCTTCCCGCGCTTCACCCTTCTCTCCAGATTAGTTGCTACCATAGCCTGGTTTGCTGATGGAAATTAGAGGCCACTTCCATAATCATCCGCTCCTCTTGCTGCCCTGGTCACAGCACCCCCCAGGCCCACCATTTTGCGTGCCTCCATCACCGCAGCATCCCATGGTAGCACCCGCTTTGGCACTGCCCTTGAGGCTGTGCACTGTCTGAGCCTGCTGCATCCCGTCACCAGACACAGGCCACTCTCCTGCTGGGACTCGGTGCTCCACCAGTCCCACCGCCCTTCGCAGCAAACACAACAGCTCTTGCTCAAGGTCACAGAGCAAGCCAAGGCAGAAGCAGGATTAGAGTCTGAGAACCTGTCTGCCTGTTTTAAGTAGATAAACAGGCCAAGATCCTCAAATGTATTTCAGCACCCAGCTCCCCAGTGCTATCAGTAGGAGCAATGAGACCTTAGGCACCTAAATACCTTTTTGAGTCTGGCCCTTCCTGCCTAAATGCAAAATTACAAGGATTGGGGTTGGTGCTGGTGCCTCTAGGACATGCTGCAGGATATCCCCTGCTTGGAAAGCCAGACCAGGCTCCCAGTGAATCCTCTGTAGGTTCAACATTATTCCTTCCTCCTCCAAAATCATCTCTGGCCCTGTATGGCAGGCAAACTCTTCCTCTTCCATCTCATTACACCGCAAAACCAGCTTCCCCCATGGCGTCTCGGCAGCACTCCTGGGATCTGTTCTCTTTCAACAATCAAAAAAGGCCTCAAAACCAAACCCGAGCCTGAAGAACTGATAAGCTGCTGATGCTAGGAGCCCAAGCCCTTCCCCGCTCCCATCCTTCAGGCTGTTATCGTCCCCAGCACCTCACCCTGTTCTTCCCTTAAGGAAGCGCGCAGCCTGCCTGCCCTGCGGCATGCAAGTGTTTGCCAATGAAGAAATCAATCAATCCAACTCTTTTTAAGTCTGCATCCAGCAAAGGGGAGCCCATACACCCATGCTTGTTTTCATGAGGAGTCCTCTGGGACTGATCACACGCTTAAAGAGCACACAGTTAAAGCACTTTGTTGGAGCAAAGTCTAACAGTGACATTTTCAGAAGCACCTTCGTCACCCGGGAGCCAGCGATGGAGGAGACTGGGGGGAGCAGAAGTGCCGAGCACAGGGGGAAGCATCTTTTTTCACTGGTGCCCAGAAAGGAAGCCCGGGACTCCGGGTCTCGCCATCCCTCTGCCATCAGCAAATATCTGTGAACCCATCTGCAAAACGGCTCATTCCTTTCTGAGGCTGGTCCGTAGGGCGGCGGACCACCTCCCGCTGCAGGCAGTTACAATGTCAGCTCGCATGGCCGCAGTCTTTGAGCCGCCTCTAAAGGTTCGGACTCTGCCAATTAGTCGGCCTCAATTGTTCAGATTTGCTGATCAACAGGATGCTGCAGCCTGAGGGGCCAGAGATATTTAGACTTTTTCTTTTTTAACCAACAAATGGAAAAAACCCATGCCATTACATGCAACGACTATAGTTAAAAGGAGACAGACAGGTTGGAAAATCAGGCAGTCATAAGTTAAGAACTGTCAGCAATGAGCCAACCTGTGCTCTCTT